CTTAAGTCCTAGAACTTTGTCTATACAATTTGCAGCTTGCCGATGCATTCGAATTAAGGTTGCAGGTTATCCGGGAACCAATCCAAATCAAGTCAATCCACATGGATTGAGTTTGGTTTATATGAACTGGATTCCACTTTGGGTTGGATTTTTCTAAATCCGGTAAATTTAGTCTTGGTTTGGATTAAAACCATGGATATCCCTGGAACCGTGGACTCGATGCAGTATACCCGGGAACTCCATCTTTTTATTCTTGTAATTCTATCATTAATGTGAATAAAGTGTGAATTAATTGTTAATTATGGATAATTAAAAAAAATAATGTATATCAATTTTGATTCTAAAAAGTAATTAGAGTATTAAAATTATTTTATTTAATTAAAATTTAATTCAAAATTTAAAACTTCATTTCATGAAGTGGTGTGGTTAGAATTTTCTTTTAGGGGCCAAATGAATTTAAAAAAAAAACAACATTGCATCTTTGCATTAATTAAAAAGTTAATGAAAGAAAAAATTTTAATAAAAAAATTATTTTTAATTAAGATTTGTTAGTTTTTATCAATAAATTAAGATTAATCGATGTTATGGTATTATATATATACATTAATTGAAAGATAAAATAAATATATATTAAATAGATAAACACTAGCAAACCAAAAAAACAAAAGTAGAAGGGTATTAATAAATAAGAAAAGATATTAATGAACAACTATTTTATAAAAGGATGGTATTGATAAATAATTTTGTATTCAATTACTTATTATTTTTTATCATATTTTATTTTATCTTCATTTTCCTCAAATTTCTCATAATCATTAAAACTAATCTTTGAAACAACAAGGGTTAAAAAATAATTAAAATGTATAAAATAAACAAGGATTGAAATAATAAAAATATAACTTAAAAGACCAAAGTTTTTATTTCTTAAAAGTTGAGGGGGTGCTTGTGCCCGTCTGGCTCCCCTTGTCTCCACATTGTTATTAGAAGTTGACATCTAAATTTAGAAACTACTAGATCATTTAAGGTATGCTAGGACTTTAATTGTTTTGATTGGTATGTATTATTCTCATAAAAAAATATTAATTTTAAGGAAAAAATGTCTTATAGATTTTTTTCTAAAAAAAAATTTTTAGAGAATCAATTTAAAAACTTATTTTTTTTATTAATATTTTCAAAACTGATCATTAGATTGAAAGTTTTATTCATATAAATTATACATATTAATTTTCAAAATAATCTACTAGGATTAATCACCTCCCTAATTACACAAAACTTAATAGTGTTAAATATGTGTCAGTAAATAGAGTTTGTTTTAATCAAATAGTTATAAGTATTGGATTAATATAAAAACTGATATGTATGATTTATATAAATGAAACTTTCAATCTAAAAGTTAATTTTTGAAAATATTAATTAAAAGGTAAGTTTTAGTTATACTTTTAAAAAAATTTTCAAGAGGATAACCTACCTAGAATAACCCCTAATTTTAAAATATAAAAAGAAGAAAATAAATTTTATATTTGGATTGAGAAGAAAAAGAGAAGGGGAAAAGAAGGGAGGAAAATTATATCATTCCATTCTTTTACATTCTCTTACATTCTCCTTATTTAAATAAGTAATTAAATTAAATAAAAAAATTAATAAAGTAAAAGAAGATTTTCTCCTCTTCTCTCCTTTATTTTTTTAATAACCAAATAAAATATTTTCCTCTCGTCCTTTCACTCCTCTCGACCCAGAAATATGACATTTTTAACCTTTTACCTTATAAATTTGATAAGTTTTAGCACCTCACCTCACAAAATTGGTAGATTTTAACCCCTCACCTTAAATTATGACATTTTTAACCTCTCATTTATATGAATTGAAGAAAATAACTCTCACCTAATATTAGATTATAACATTCTATTAGTTTTGTTGGTTAACTGTTAACATTTATTAACATTTCGTTCTTAAAAACGTGAAATTTAAATTCAATTTTATTTGTTAGTTCCATTAACGGAATACTAACGGATACTAACAATCAGCTAACAGAATTAACAGTCAGCTAATAGAACTGACAATTAACTAACAGAACTAACAGAACTAACAAAACATTATAACTCGACGTTAAGTGAGAGCTATTTTATTCAATTTGTACAGATAAAGAGTTAAAAGTATCATAATATAAGGTAAGTGGCTAAAACCTATCAATTTTGTAAGGTAAATGGTTAAATTTATGAACTTTGTAAAGTTAAAAGTTAAAAGTGCCATATTGTAAAGTTAAGGAATAAAACCTACTAATTTTGTAAGGTAAGAAGCTAAATGTTAGTTTTAATTAAAGAAGGGGAGGGGAATGGAACTGTTCCTGTGGACAAAACCAATCCAATCCGGTAATCATCGATTGAATTGGATCGGATCGAATCCATACAAAAGTTGGTTCGGTTTGGATCAAATTCACATGGAACCAACATTTTTTGGGCCACACCAAACTTGCGGATCAGGACCAAGTTGCAGCCCTAATTTCGAATTTACAATTTGTGATCAGACAGGCAGGCAGGCAGGCAGGCTGGAAACCGATGTTAGTTTTATGTGCCTCTTGATCCCACAATTTGAAATGTGTCAAAAAATTATTGGTTTGGGATGTCTACTCGGTATACTACCAGAAAACAGCATAGGTTATCGTACCTCCCATACGTTCTAGCCATTGGATTTTATTTGAAATGCTGATTATTTATGAGCTTGTTGCCCAAACTTTGTTTTTTCTTCGAATTTATGTTTAGCTTCCCAAATTTGCTAATTAGTAAATTTTTTAGGAATAGGCAAGATTCATTAACCTTAAAAACATCCATTCCAGCTAGGTGTGTAATACTTACTCCCAGACACCCCTGGGAATCAAAAACCCATTTTCAAGGACAAATGAGACATAATGCTATGTAAAATTCAATCTGTATCTCTATGCTTTCCCAAGAACACAGTTAACCACTACATAAATTTTAAAATAAAAATTGAAAATTAACCTCTGAAAGTGTTAAAAAAGAGTAACTACTAACTCAAACAATGGTAAAATATGTTATTCATACTTTATGAGAGATTTGGAATAAAAATGTATAATTAAGTATACAAAGGCATATAAATAACCTACCAACCTTTGCACCAAATGCGTTTATAATGCTTGGTACCATTGTTACACCCTTAATGTTTAATGTCACAATTTTTATATTTACTTGACCATTATACTTTTTTTTTTTTTGAACAAATTTACAAGGAATCAAATTCAAACCATTGTTCAAGAGAAGGAGAATGCACTTAATGAGTGGTATGAGGTTATTGGGCCAAAGGCCCAAACTAACCATTATACACTTTAAAGTTTAAACCTTTGTTGAAAAGAAAGAAAAATTTTGGTTATTCAATTGCCAAACGGGAAGTACCACCTTGGTCTTGAGTTACTCTGCTATTTTCATGAAAAGGAGAGGCAATTAACACAGGTAGTCAGATTCAAGACTGAATTAGCAAAAGAAGAATTAGGGCCTTGTACTTTGTGAAAGCGCATTTCCTGAACATATTCAAATCGCAATTGGGACTTAGAATTGCGTCAATTTCTCTCTTTTTTCTTCGCTTTCCCCCCTCATCGTCTCTGTTCGCTCCTTAGTTTATTAGCTGGCGGCTTAACCATCACCTCCTTCAATAGTTCAACCAAAATTTTAATACTTTCTTTTAGTCTTTTCATCAAACATTTGGTATGTATTTAATTTGCTCTTTTATTTTTATTTCTAAACAAAATTTCACCTTCATTGGAAACCCCTTTTGCTTTTCCTTTAAATCCCGTAATTTGTCGCCATACCTGACGCCACATGGTAACTATTGCACTGCCTTTGAAATATAGAATCACACCGTCAACAAACCCACAAACCCAAAAAGAATAAAATTGTTTATTAGATTTTGATTAAGTGAACATATAAATCCCGAGCAAATGAGCAGGATTATTGGGGTTTTATTGAAGATTAAATCAATTTAAGAGAGATTAAAGAATCCCTAGAAAAATTATTCTACAGAGATGACAACTGAGAACTGGAAACTGAAAAGGGCAAGGAACAATGAAAGAGGAGTCAGAAAGGGAAGAGTTGCATGCACTGAATAGAAAATGAATAAAATGTTGGGGTATAATTATCAATTAAATATGCACACCGTGACAACAACAGCACTTATTTTAAAATTATAATTTTATTCGATTCTTGTTATTTTAAGAAAATGAAAGTTAAAATGTGGAAGGCACTTGGTGCCTTTGGGTTTGAGCCATTGGGTCAAGCAACCGTTCGAATCTCATTTTTTGTGAATTTGTTCAAAAATAAATAAAAAAAAAAAGTTAAAATGTGAAAGGAATAAGCGGCAGTTAGGAGGTGACCAACTGAATATTTGAGTCACCATCATTCTAGATTCACTCTTCTTGTCGCTAAATTCCAAATGAGGAAAAGCAAAACAAAGCATTTCTCTTTCCTCCAACAATTATAAAGAAACTATTAAACTTCAAACATCCATGTTGGACAACTAAGGTTCGAACATCATAGAACAAATTCTTTCTTACTTTCGGGAAGTTTAATGACTTTATTAGAAACCATATCCGGAAGAAGGAAAAGCAGAGCACTTGCCTTCCTCCCACTCAATCCAACCATACTGAAGAAATTGTAGAAGTACAGAGGAAATGGAAGAGTATAAATTGAGATAATTGAGGGGATCGTAACTATGACCGTTCTTCAGGGCTTTGACCCTGCTCTGTTTTGTATTATCAGGAATTGGACTACCCTGTTTTGTAGAAGAAGAAAACAGAGAACGTTTTTCTTTCTGCCAATCAATCCAACCATTCCGAACGTAGAATAAAATGTCAGTAGAATATATAATTGTCGATGAATTACAAAATTGAAGCTGAGAAACGAGGAAAGTGTCATTGGCAACTATGAGAATTGGCCTCGTGTGGAATTGCCCCTGCCCTGCAACATAGTATCCCAAGATTGGCGGCACGTCCGACCAAGTTTTCGAGTTTTTTGAGAAGAGGAGGAAGAAAACAGATCCATTCTCTCTCCTCTCTTCCATGTACAATTATAACTGTTCCTGAGGGAATGAAAAAAAGTATTCTAAGTTAAAATTAAGCTCAGAATAACAACAAACGCCAACAATCCAAAGAAAAGGAAACACCCAAGAATACATACATAAAAGTAGAAAGCAAATACAGAGTTTTGCCTCAAAACATCATTCATATAACATAGTAGTGCTTAGCGTACGTTTGTCCATATCTCATAACCAAGCAGAATAATTCTTCTTCTTGCTGCAATCCTGTAACGCACCGGGAAGCCTTCCACACGCTGAAACTTGATTCTGTCTCCAACTTTCAGTCCTTTTTCACGAACATAGAGGTGCCATCCTAATCTCAGAATGGGCCGAGGGTTGTGGTTTGCCTGGACGTAGTAGCCAAATGTCCACTCTGTTCCACCCACATCCATTACCCTTCTATTTATGAGCTACCCTCCTTGAACCTGTGGCATGTAGTTCAAGAAATGAGTTGGGATTACCAACATGGGATGGAACCAGCCTCTGTTCTTGTCAATTGCTTCAAAAACCTTGCCATTCTTGGATTAATTAATTGCTTGATGAACCCTGTAAAATGCAAACTCTCTTCTTTCTTTTCTGAAGTTTCCACCCAGCAGACCCAGAGTTAAAACTTAACTTAAACATTGTGAGCTTTGAGCTCTCCCGTGCAATACATCCCAGACATTATCATAAATTCCAGCCATCAACAGCCATTGAATGCAGATTATGCTTAACGAGGTTAATAAGATTTAATGATTTGTTACGTTGCCATTGGTTTAGGGATGACAATTCATCAAAGCATTATCTACCATAAATAAGTTTTCCAGCGTTTGACTCCATACTACTAAAGTATCTAACCCATCTTCTATAGATGGGTAGCCATTCAAAAATTATCTTACTAAAGTATCTAATCACATACTAACATATTTTGAGTAATGAATACTGGAAGATTGTTTCCATTAGAATATTTTATATTTAATGGTATTAATTATCTATATAGATAACTTGTTGAAAGAATTTGATAGAAAAGATATAACACAGAAGATCGAGAAAAGTTTTTTGATAATTGGTTTATCCTGATCCATATCCTTCTTGATTGAAACCACATGAAAAATTAATATGGACATAGATAGATAAAGTAAAATTTACACTTATTCAACGTGATTAAATTGCATAGAATCCCTATTACTTACTAGATTTTAGATTAGAGCCAAACGAGATAACGTAAAAACAAGATTCAAAGAAAAGCATCTTTACATGTGTAATTTTTTTTTTTTTTTGGTTAATGAGATT